GCGGGGCGGAGGGCTGGGCCCGGCCGAGATCCTGCTCTTCTCCTTCCCCGGGGAGCTGCTCCTGCGCCTGCTGAAGATGATCATCCTGCCGCTGGTGGTCTGCAGCCTGGTGGCCGGCGCGGCCAGCCTCGACCCGGCCGCCCTGGGGCGCTTGGGGGGCTGGGCGATGCTCTTCTTCCTCCTCACCACCTTGCTGGCCTCCTCGGCGGAGGGCTGGGCCCGGCCGAGATCCTGCTCTTCTCCTTCCCCGGGGAGCTGCTCCTGCGCCTGCTGAAGATGATCATCCTGCCGCTGGTGGTCTGCAGCCTGGTGGCCGGCGCGGCCAGCCTCGACCCGGCCGCCCTGGGGCGCTTGGGGGGCTGGGCGATGCTCTTCTTCCTCCTCACCACCTTGCTGGCCTCCTCTATCGGGGTCGCCCTGGCCTTCATCATCCAGCCCGGGCAGGGCGCCGCCGCCCCCAAGCTCTTCGGCGACCACGCGGACGAGGTGCCCGAGGCCAAGGAGGTAGTGGACTCCTTCCTGGACCTCATCAGGTGAGCCTCTCCAACAAGGTCGGCACGCTCAGAGGCACTCTTGTGGCCTGGCCCGTCTGTAAGTGGGGGGGGGAGGAGAGGGGAGGATGCTGGCCCTCCGCCTTGCCGTCTAGCAAGGGCAGCATCATCTCACCTGCTCTAGAACTTCCGCTCTGCTCACCTTGGGTCTTCCCTAGGAATGCCAGCAAGGCTGAGCTCCCGTGTAACCCCACCTGAGACCCAGTGAAGGGACCTCTCCAAAGAGAGGAGCGAGGATAGAGGTGTCCACTTATGCTTAATCAGGCAGTGTTCTCTTTTCCCCCCCTCCCGTCCCCCAATTTGGAAAGCAGGCTGGTCCAGTAAAATTCAGGGCAGGTTCACACAGGCAAGCCTGTCATCCCTGTCTTGTGTGAAGGTGCCCACGGCTTGGGTAGAGTCCTCTGGGGGGCTGGGGGAGGGAGAGAGCCTGCATCTTCAGGGAAGGTAGTCCTCAGGTTCCCCCGAGGGTCAGCAGAGGGCCCGCTGGCGCACCAAAATTAACCTTCAGAGGCTGCAACGAATGCTCTTTGATCCTGCTCCGGGGCTGACTTCTTAAAAGGCTGCTGTTATTTAAAAGAGACTCAAATGAGGCCTGGATGGAGGGGAGAGAGAGAGAGAGAGAAGCCAGCGTGGTGTGACTAATGCATGACGTGTTTTTATGCCTGCGGCTGTTTGTGTTAAGTACCGGGAAGTCGGGAGCCCCACGACGGTTACCTTTGCAAACTTATTTTGGCCGGCAGGGCCCCACGATCGGTTCTGAACCTTGGCTTTCCAGAGGAGGCAATAAAAAGGCAGCTTTAAACTTTTTCACTCCCCTGACTTTGAGATGCCTTAAAAAGGGTGCATTTTCTTGGCCAAAAAAACTGTGTGGTCTCTACCCTGTCTGGGAGGTACATGTGTCCCTATGTGCTCTTGTCTCATCGTATTCCCAAAATGGTCCTGCTCCCGCCTTCCCCATCAGATGTATTGGAACTCCAGATTATATCATTCTCCATTCTTCTGTTTGAAAACTGTCACCCAGTCTTCTAGTATTTTTCTTCTCTCTCTGCTCCGGGTCCTTTCTTGCATGTGTGTCCTCATGAGATGTAACTTAGTGGAAGAAAATGGAGCTTCGTTGGAGAGCCTTTATTCACCCCGAAAACAGTTTATTTGTGTCTCTATGTGCTTCCCTGCCTCTTGCCCACCATGTGTACTTCTCTCTCCCCCCCCCACTGATGGCAGTACAGAATGTTCTCTGACACACCACCTTGTCCCGCCCCTTTCCTGGCACATTTCAAGATATGACATCCGCCCTGACTAAATCTTAAGGGGGAAAGGAACATCTGGAGCATGGGTGTAGAGAAAAGGGAAGCATGGATATTTGGGGGGGGGGGATTAGCATGCAAAGGTGAAATCCTGAATGCATTGACTGGGGTGTGTGTGTGTGTGTGTCTGTCTGTCTGTCTAACTTTCCAGATGTTGTTGGACTGCAGCTGCTTACACACCTAGCCCTGATGGGAGATGATGGGGACTGCACAATGAACAGCAGTCCTTACCACCACTGGTCTCTGTAGTGGGTGCAAGGGCATAAGATTTACTCTGCATTAGAGGGCACGTGTTTTGCAACTCCGAGGCCCCATGTTGGACTACCGGCTTTCCTCCCAATAGAGAAAAAGAGTCTCTGGAAATATGGGGTCGGCTCTGCCAGAATAGATTTCATGGTCACCAAGTTCCATAGCTTTCAAAGGACATGAGATGGGTTCGCAGAGAGAAGCTCTCAGTGGCTCTTAGGCGTAGGTCTTGCATTGCTGGAAGTCACCACGCCTCTCAGCCTCCCCATTGCTATGGGATTACAAGTGGAGGTGGCCCCTGTTGCCCTCGGGTGCTGGTTAGGAGGATTTATGTCTTCTAAGTATGATGTTTCTGTTGGGTCCTTTTCTCAGTGAGGTCCGAGCGGCCTGCCGTGGTTCTGACCCTCCTTGCTTTATCCTCCTTGCAGCCCTGCGAGGTGGGTCAGGCTGAGGTAGAGCAACAGATGCAACCCAGCGAGCTCCAGTGGGAGCGTTGGTTTCCTGAGTTCGAGTCCCGACAGGCTACCCACTGCACCACACGGGCGCTCTCAGCACCGTCGGGTCGGCTGTGGAGACAAACAAGATGTTGGACTAGAAGGAGACCTTGGGCCGGATCGTTCCTCGGGGCTCCTCGGTGGTTTTCTCGTATTAATTGATCTTCATCATCTTAGAACCGTAGGGCTGGAAGGGCCCCCAAGGATCATGGGGTCCAACCCCTGTCAAGGGGGGGCGCAGAGGGGGGAATCTTCTCCCAACCTCTGGCTCTGCAGCCAGAAAAGGGCTCAACCCCGGAGCTATCCAGCAGTTCACATCCTTCTCGTGTGCGCACGTGCACACAAACGGCTGCTGGGTTCCAACCCGGTTCTCTGAATCCTGGGTGAGCCGTCCCAAAGAGAAAGGCATTGAGCAGGTCCCGCTGGCTATTCCTGGGCTCTGCACTTCCAGCTTCTCTCCGTGCTCCTGAAGCACTGCCGCTTCCGAACGAGTCTCGTTCGTGGACCGTGCCAGGCCATTGTGGCGGCTCCTGTTAATTTATCAGATGCCATTTTAAAAGCCAGCTGGGCTGCCCTCCGCCATCACGGGGGTGCCTTGGTGAACGATAACTAGACCGAGGCGGGAGCGTGTGTGTGGCCCCCTGCTCTGTAAGGGCAGTAGGAACCTTTTTCCTTCTGGGGACCAAGCATGCAGGAGAAGGAGGCAGAAGAGACAAGGGTAGAAAAAATGGCAATCAGGAAGGCAAGCGGCCCCTTTTCAAAGCCTGGCTCAGCCCTCCCTTGGCCCTCCCCTGCAAAAAAACAAACGCGTGCCTGCTCTCCAGCCAAGGAAGTACATACGGGATCCTTTCTGGATCTCTTTGTTCCTTGAAGCCCCCAGCTTTTGTACAGCCACAGAGCACCTTGACATTTACCTAGGCATTTCCCTCAGCCACGGGACTCCGAGGACAGGGAGAAGGTGGTGGTGTCAGGAACCGGTCTGCCCGCGTCCTCTTTTGCCTGGGCATGCATTACTCCCCGCCTTGGCTCTGTGGCTCGGCATTTTACAATAGCTGGAAGCAGAGGGTGCAGCTCACTTCTGTGCCGTTTGAAAATAATTGTCTCCCCACACTGTAAAACCGCCTTGTCCTTTTAGAGCCGCCTGGAGCCATTCATTTTTCTTGGATCACAGGTTCCCGATCCAACATCTGTTCAGTCAGAGGTTGGGTGTGTAACCCGTTCAGATGTACTGGAGTGTGTGTGTGTGTGCGCACAGGTGCTTGGAGAATCCTTTCCAAAAGCTGTTTCAAGAGTGTGAGATGGAATGTCGGATTGACCTTCTCATGGAACAGCTGCCGCACTGCATCCCCAGGCAAACCATTTGTGTTCAGAGTAAAACCTTCTGTTTTCATGTGCCTGTCTCGTCTCCCATCTTTGGCTTTGCTGACATTACACAGACCCCTCTGAGCCCATTAAGAACGTGGTGCTTTCCTGACTGTTTTCCTAAATTTGTTTAATAGCCTGGGCGTGGGCACTTAAAAGGAGCTGCTTCGTGCCAGACATATTGTGAAGTACAATAAAGTGGTCCAGCTGAACTCATTTGGAAGGCATTTTTACCGTTTTATTTAAAGCCAGGCTTGGAATTCCCTTTTCTTCCTACCTCGAAACCCTCCAAATTTACAAGCATCCTTAGATTGTATTTTGGTGGCAAAGAGTGAAGCCAGGTGATCTGATGGAAACCGGGTCAGCCTGCTGTTTAAACTATTGCTCTCCAGTGTCTTTAAGCAGCTGCTGTCTTCCTTAACTTGGGCACACGTGAGAGACTTTAACTGGAGGTGCCACCTGGGGTTGCTAAAATGGTGTTCTTCTCTTCTCAACCCCACTAGCAAACCTCCAACAGGATATGTTCCTGTTGGGAACTTCAAGCATTTGAGGGCTTTCTGGATCTGTCCTCTCGCAAAAGTGCCTGACTTAATGCTTCCCATTCGGCATTTCTCGTGATCCATCCAGCATTGGGCACATGTGCTCAAGTGTCTGAAATCTCTTATTCCACACAGTGCTATCGCACTCAATCATAACTTTGCTGCTCTTTTCTGTCTCTTCTTCTTCTTTTACTTCCCTTTTGCCTCATTTACCCTCTGCTTTTCTCCCCAAATTGCCTGTGTGCCAAAAGTCACATTTATTAACCTGGTCTCGGCTGATCTGCTGCTCAAGCATGTCGGAGGTTAAGCTGCCTAATTTGCCCGAGCGTCTGAAGCATTCCTCGGAAGGAGGTCTGGCTTGCAGCTTCGTGGCATGCAAGGGAAGCCTCCAATTTCTTCTGAGTTGGATTGCCTCCAGGTGAAGGGTAGAAGAGATTACAGACTGGTCTTCTGCCTTCAGCCAGTTATTTATACATGCCTCGTTCTAAGCCTAGAGAGGCCATATAATTTCAGTTTTTACACTGGTCATAAAATGAGTTTATAAACCACCCTGATAAGAGAGCTACTTCCTTCATCCTCACTCTAGTCATAAGCCCAGGAAGAATAAGATCTGATGTGCCCAAAATCCTACCAAATTTCTGTAGAAGAATCTTTTCAAGATTGAACACCAGAAGTTTAGCAAGATTTGCCCACCACCATGTGGATTAGAAACTTGGGAGGTTTCTTTAAACAGAATGCAGGCTTTGTTTTGCTTTGGAAATTGTGTGTGTGTGTGTTTTAAAAAGCTACTTTAGGTCTTGTTTGGTTCAAGTTTAGGGTAGGGAATGATAATATAAATACGTTCCTCCAAAAAAGTTGGGAGTCTGTACTGAACAGAGGAGAGATGGGAGTATTCCCTGTTTGGCATTCCAGATGAACAAAGAGGGTGCCCGTTCAGGTTGGCTTCAATCCCAGGGGGCTGGTGGGTAGATGGAGAAATATTGGCAGATAATAACTGGTAGAAGTCCAGGTTTCTGCTGTGACTTGCCCAAATCTGGGGCAATGCTCTGAATGGGGCCATTGTGGGTGGACAGTGAAAGCGGTCAGAGCAGATACAGAGGGCTGACTGTTGGGGTATGGGATGATTCAGCTAAAAGGGCCAACAAGGCTGAGTTTTAGCATTAAGGCCAGGCCATGGAGTGGCCCTCATGACAACTGAAGCTCCCCTATCTCATGGTCCACAGTTGCCTATATAGCGTTCCGGTAAGCCGAATGCCTTGACTTCCTTGGGCTTACAGCTTCTCACTGTTCCGTACTTTAAAAATAATTAACAAATCCATAAGCAAAGTCCAGTGGTTGCTCCTAAGTAGACTAGAACAATTGCTTTAATAAAACTTTGGTAAGTCAGCTGTTCCCTACACCCCACTGATTTAATGGTTTTACTCCAGTTGGGGCTTAGTACCTTTCTAGATTTTCAACGAGTGATGGGGGCATCGCTTTGCAAGACTGGGAGCCCTCTCTCCTCTGTTCTTGGGGGTTTGAGCGGGTAAGTTAGAGATTTTAAAAACAAGAATGTGTCTCGCTGCTTTTGCCAAGTTCTCTTTCAATTTCAGACGGTGGCAGATAGATTATACAACATTTGAAGAGAGAGGGAGCGCTTTATACACAGTGGCACTAGATCTGTCTATGTCCTGATGGTTCACAATATTCTGTCTTCAACGCCCTGGTCACCCAACGCAGGTTGTTTTCAAGAATGTGTTCTGGGTCGCCTGGACTTTGGCAAGTCTGCTAATGAAGTCTGTCTCCTTTCCGAGCAGACAGTTCATAATGCCCACGGGATCAGTTTGAGATTTTTTTCCCCTTGACGTCCTTTTAAGCAAAAAAAGAGTCAAAATTTCCCCATTTGAGTCCCATGGAGTATGAATCATCCCGAACACTTAAGCCCTCGTTTCTCTTGGAAGGAGAGGCTTAAACAGTCCAGGGTGAAGAAACTCATGTTGCAAACTCTTTGGGTCCTTTTCGGTGCATTTTCTCTTGGATATTTTTGATGAATCAGAGTTCCATTATAGAACTTTGACACAAGGGTGGTAGGAAAGGAGCAGCCTTCCTCCGTATTGATTTGTTGAAGTGCACAGGAGGTTTTTTCCCTGCTCGGCTTGTTTCCTTAATTCAACGTATTCTGAAAAAGAGGCGGTGCAAGGAGGGTGTTGCCTTTTCTGCGTCTGATGCAACATGCTCTTGGTGTTGAGTCTTCTTGCCAGTGTGGCAGAGAAACTCTGCTTGCTTAAAGGTTTTGTGTGTGTGTGTGTGTTTTGAGCATCTATGTAGAGACAAATAATATGTGGGCTGAAAAGGCTGGATTCAAACCGGAAGCAAAATATTCCAGACATAATAAATACTAAGCAAACACACGTGTGTCCCCCCCCCAGCTTTTGAGATCAGTGCCCAATATATAGAACTGGGGGCTGCAGTTTTAGACCAGTTGCCCTTCTTGAACTGTTGGGCTTTCCTATACAGCAACCATGATTTGGGGCTTCGGCTGCCTTAAGATTAAAAACCTGCTGGTGAGTTTGTACACTGTGGCCCTGATCCAGGGATGTTCTATGCCTCCATTTGAGAAAACATCCCTGGGGCATTTGATTCCCCCCTCCCTAATAGGAGCTGCTGAATAGCTGTCTTCGGCTTAAATTTTAAACATTAGAACTCCTTTTTGGGTGTGTTGGTTGGTTGGCAGGATTTGTCTTTAGCCAGAAGAGAAATGCATGTTGTTTTTGGGAAGAAGGGAGACGCTGGAAGAAATGTGGCAGAGCCAGAGGTTCATTATAGGTGACGCCGTAGTTTAAAAACTCAACTGAAGCCAGACGGACTTGCATTGCAGTCTGGTTGTAGAGGACAAATCTCCCACCATCCCAATGTCAGGTGGTAGAAAATCTTCTTCTTCCACTTACATGATCCGACACGTCCAGTATTTGTCCAAAGCAATCAAGGGAGCTGGCGCCTTCCCCCATGTAACGTGGAACCTGCGTAGCACCTGGGAAAGTCTTAATTCCATTGCGCCTACCCTATGTTCCTACACTGTCTTCACTTAACGGCTGCTACACCTGTTCTTTACATCATCTTCTCCTAAATTCTGTACCATTTCACCTGATGTAGCAATCTTCACCCTTTGAACCCCAGCTGTTTTACAAACTTCCGTTGCTATCCCTCTCTTAACCCTGGGACCTGTATCTATTAGATGGTTCTCAAAGCCCTGTTAGAGTTTCTGTAGGTTGGTCCCAACTTGACGGCACAAACTGATGTCATACCATTTTTTTCTCTCTGCTGCGGTTCCCTCCATCCCGAAAGTGATTTTACAGCCAGCCTTGTGAAGTGTTCTGGGGAAGCAGGTTTGGGGAGAAGGGGGCAGGATTTTGCAACACCCCCTGTATTGCACAGCGAGAGGGTGGCAGGGCTCCCCGCCTTGCCCTGGTGGGGATTCCTTCTCCAAAATGGGCTCAAATCCTACCGTACGGGTGAGAGCCAGACAGTTTACTTGCTGCCGGCGAGGATTAGGGTTTAATCTTGTTTGTGCTGCCCGGTCAATCCTCTCCCAGGGTCAGGCCATGAATTGGAGGGAGGCGGAGGTGGAGGGAGGGGATGATGCCAGGGGCAGCTGGCATGGGGAAAGCCTCGGGCCGGGGGGGGCGCCAGGCCCCATCGAGCAAAGGTCAAGGCCAAGACACCGGATCTCTCTCGGAGCTAGGGCAGCAGAGCACTGGGTTATTCTTGGTCAACGGGTTGGATAACCAGGGGACGTTCACTCTATCACACACACCTCTCCTCACAAGTGAATCTTGAGAAATGGGAAGACTGCATTACGTTATGGCCTTTCCTCAAAGTGGAATAGACCTGCTTTGCCCTCAGGCTGAGCCACGACCTGGCTCGAGGTCACCCATGAAATTCGTGGCCATGTAGGGATTTGAACCCAGGCCTCTTATCCTAATGTAGCACTCCTACCCATCTCCAGTCCTCGGAGAGATCAGAAATTGCCAGCCGTGACAGTTCAGTTGCTCCTCCAGGTATCATGGCAGTCTATCAGGGAGCACCAAAAGATGGTCAATTGACAGAGGGGGGGTGACAAGTAGTGCTCAAAGTGGGTGTTCTGGTTTTGGGGGGGACACTGAGCACCCCAAGCGAATGCACAGTTGAGTTTGCAGGGACAGGCTGTTGAATTTTGGCTGCAAGGGTGTGGAGGGAATGTGTACTGTGTTACAGTACCCAGAAACCCTCCTCAAGCTAGAATGGGATTCTGGGAATTGTAATCAAAATGAAAGGTCCCTTCCCAAGCGTTGCTTAAATGTGCCGGGTTGATAAGAATGGTGGCGTTCCCTCTGGGGGCCGTGTTTTGAACCCTCTCTTCTCTTCTCCACGCAGGAACATCTTCCCCTCCAACCTGGTGTCGGCGGCCTTCCGATCGGTGAGTTGGCCGCCCTTTCCTGCCCCGAGCTGCAGCGCCCGCTCCCCTCTCAGCCCCACTGGGTGTGGGAAGGACGAGAGTTTGTTCCTTTGAACCCACTACCCTGCGAGGTTGGCACTTGTGCCAAAGAAAGGTGGGCACTCCGCCACTGGAGGCCCCTGAGGACACTGCGATGGAGCCCTTCCTGAGGACCTTGGAATAAACGGTTTGAGTCGGTGGTCTAGAGCCCGCCAAGAGCGCCTCTTCTCTGTGCGGAAGAAATGGCCCGCCACAGAGCGCATGGAGCTGCCTTAAGCGTCCATCAGAGCTCCCGTCCTCGCTGACGAACCTCTTCCAGCGCCTCTCCGGGTCTTTCCCAACCCTTGGAACTGGAGCTGCCAGGGGAATAAACCAGTGAGAGGGACCTTCCCTGCCCAAGGCTGCAGCTTTTCAGCTGAGCTGTTCCCCTCCCGCCCCATCATACCTAGGAGGTGGTGCTTGAGAAATCTCAAATCAAAAGATAAGGCAGAGTTTCCATGCCTACCGTGAGCATCAGCTGACTCCTGGCCTCCCCTTTTGGCAGATGCTGATGAGAGCCTGTCTTCCCCATTTCCTGGTTTCTCCTTTTCATCAAAGCCCGGCCTTTGTCTGTGATTACAAAACCATAACCCGGCACGGTTAATGTTTCCTCTCTTGCACGCTCTCTCTCGCTCTTTCTATTCATTATTAACTGGTTCTTTGTGGCCGGCTGATCCTCTTTAGGACCTGGGCTGGTTCGAAATGACAAAACCAATTTGGCTTAATTTTTAATAGCCTTGTCCGATGAACAAAAGCAAATCCCCGGGAAAGCAGAGGAAGGAGGGAACAGATCCAAACAGCCAGTAGAGGAGGTCTGCTCCTACTGGAATGTGACTGGCCTGTTTGGAGACCACATTTCGCCTCTTCCGCTCAAGCATAGGTGGCATATTTAGAGACTGGAGGATGAGGCTATGAAACCAATCAACTGATTAATGGATATTGATTGCCACTTGAAGAGACCTTGATACTGGGAGGGTCTGCACCTTAGCGGGGGACCGCCTGCTCTGCATGCAGGGGGTTCCCGGTGGAATTCCCAGCATCTCCAATGAGTCTAGAAAAAGTCCTGCCTGAAACCTTTTAAGAGTTGCTCCCAGTCAGTGGCTGAAATCCTGTTGCACAGTTACTCAAAAGGTGTAACTTTTAGCGACTAATTGCCATAGGTTAAGGAAGCTGCTTAGGCGTTGCCCGTGGCATACTGGGTTGCGAAACTAACAGTTGCACCTTTTGCATAACTGTGCAGCAGGATCTTGGCCAGTGTGCATAGTCATTGGGCCATGGCTTGACTCGGTCTAAGTCAGCTTTCTATGTTACAACCTGTGTAGCTTCCAGAAGGCTGTCAGGGATGGGAAAGCTTCCTTTGGGACTACAGCTCCCATCATTCCCAGCCATCCCAAGGAATGGCCAGGGATGATGGGAGTCATTCCAAAACAACTCCCATGTCACAAGCTCACCTGCCCCAGCTATGGCAGGTGCCTTCAGGCTGTGGGGACAACACCTACAAAAGAAAGACAGATTTCATTACATACCTCCCAGGAACCAACTCTTTAAAAATTAAGTAGGGATTGATTTAAATCAGGGCCCCAGTGACTCAGACAGCCTTTCATAAGTTGACCTATTAATGAAGGTGTTTATCTCTGAGGGAGTTCTGGTGGGGAAGAATACCCGGGCTTGTAGGTTTTAATTGGGAACACAGGTAGGAAATGAGATGGGATTTTAATATCTTGTTCCTAAGGCATCTGGGGACTCATAGAAATGCAAAGTTCAGTTGTTTGAGACAGAGCTGAGACGCTGTGTTCCCTTTCCCCAGTATGCTACCAGTTATAAGCTGATAATAATCAAGAAGAATGTAACAGAGGAAACTGGAGTTGTCAATGAAACTATAACGGAGCTAAAGGTAAGAAGACTAACATGTGCTTTTGTAGTTCACATACTTCTAGTCTGTGTGGTGCAGACCAAAATATATTTTCGGTTGGTTGGAAACAGGGAGTGTTGGGCTATGATTGCTTTTCAGGTTTCTAGCCCTCAAGGCAAGGGGAAAAGGTGGATATTGGAAGAGAGCATCTGCTCCGTTGAGCCACCAAAGACAGGAAATTTGTTGAAGTCCATTGGAGTTTGACTTGACCCAATACCTCCAGCAAGTGCCCTCTACTGCTCCTGTGCCTCACTGTGTCTTTGGTGAAGGCTGGCAGCCTGCCCCTACCCACCTGCTTTACCAGAGGCTAAAAGTTGGGCAAGCTGGCACTGGCACTCTTAAGCCTCAGTTGGTGATGCCAGAAAGAGAGAGGAAGAGAGACAGCAGGGAGAAGCTGCTCATCATAACAGGTGTTGCTCCTTGCAGATTTAGGACTGACTCTCAAGGACATGGTGGCAGCGGTGGGATAGCAGAATGAGGAGAACATACGGGAGGTGCTGCCTGCTGTTCCAATCTTCTTGATGGTCCAGCAGTGTGCCACTGCCATGAAGAAGTAAAAATAGGAAACCATCACCTGCGTCATGAGGGGCAAACCTTTGACACTCCAGATGTTCTGGACTTCAAGTTCCAGAATCCCCAGCTCGTATTGCCTATTGGGGGTGTTGTAGTCAAAAACACCTGGAGTGGCAAAGATTCGCCACTCCCGTGACTCTCCAGCTGTTGTTGGGCAACACCTCCCTGCCCCAGCCCTGGCAAGCATCGAGCCGAGAGGGAAGAAAGCTAGAACTGCAATCTGGGTATATGTGGAGGGACACAGCTGTGTATGGTGGGTCTGTAAGGTGGTGGTCTCCCCCTGTTTTCTCAGATGCCCAGCGGCCAAGAGGTGGAAGGAATGAATATCTTGGGCCTGGTGGTCTTTGCCATTGTCTTCGGGATCGCTCTGAGAAAGCTCGGGCCCGAGGGGGAGAACCTCATCAAATTCTTCAACTCCTTCAACGAAGCCACCATGGTCTTGGTGTCTTGGATCATGTGGTAAGGAGTCCCATCTGCTCCCTATGGGATCCCCTGGAGGGCCCTAAGCATCCCAGAGAGGAAGTTTGCTAGAAGGCATTGGGGGTTTGAGTTATTTCTGATCCAGTGAAGAAGTCCTAGAGTGAATGAATAAGGCTGTTTTAGTAGAGAGGGGAGATAGCATTGTCCTACCCACCCCCATTTAGACCAGATTCTGCTCTTGCATGTGTGGAAAGTTAAACTGCATTACTGCAGCCTAGACTCTGTTCTCAACCTGAGTTCAATCCCAACAGGCTCTGGTAGCCAGCTCAAGGTTGACTCAGCTTTTTGTCCTTCTGAAATTAGTCACTTGAGTCTCCAGCTTGCTGGGGGTGGGTGGCAATATGTACCCTGCATGATCAAAATGTAACCTGCTCAGAGAGAGCTTGAAATACTATGGGATGGTATCCACGTGGCACACTTTGCTTTTTGCAGCAGTCCGACCACGAAGGCTGCCCACACTTTATTCGTTTGGGGGTTTTGCAGGTTCAGTTAGATTGACAGCTGGAGGCCAGCCCCATCTGGCCCGTGGGTGTTGTGGCCAGGGGGCGTTCTGAAGCTGGCTGCCCCTGGACCTAACCTAGTACTTTAACCTGGAGGCGGCACTGCCTCTCCATTCCCTCTGCCCCACCGCCCGCCACGCACTGCTCTTGCCAAATTGTGCTGTTGGTTCAATTGTTGTGATCACACGCAACGGGTCTGGCAGGGTCAGACCTGAAGCGAGGCTGCTTTCCATTGCCTCCTGCTCACTTTCTCTCCCGGATTGGGGGGGAGGCTTTTTTCCTCCTCCTTCTGACACCCATTTCTCCACCTCCAGGTACGCCCCCTTAGGTATCATGTTCTTAGTGGCTGGCAAGATTGTGGAGATGGAGGACGTGGTGGTCCTTTTCACCAGCCTGGGCAAGTACATCTGCTGCTGCCTGGTGGGCCACGCCATCCACGGGCTGCTTGTTCTGCCCGTGATCTATTTCATCTTCACCCGGAAGAACCCTTACCGCTTCCTCTGGGGCATCTTCACGGCCCTTGCCACTGCCTTCGGCACCTCCTCCAGGTAAGGCCCTGGGAACCGATCATGGCCAGGGGGGGTGGGGGGCCAGGGGGGAGTTGAACCTGTGAAAGACGTCCTTTGGGTGGGAGAGAGGGACTTTCCAGGAACAAAGTTGGCAACTCCCAGTGGTGAGATCAATCTGAGCATGCATTTCTAACATTGGGAGTTAAAATGCATAGATTGTGGCCCAGAAGCCTTCAGAGCTAGCTGTCCTGGCCAGGATTTCTGGGAGTTGCAGTCAGAGACATCTGGGGACCCAGGATTGGGAACCAGTGACTGTGGGGGACAGAGAGGGCATCCACCAGATCTCCTGAGGCAGGAGGTTCCCCAGGTGGGATGCCAACCCCTAAGAGGGCCTTATCCTGCATCCACCCCAAGTGCAACTCCCATGGAAGTGAAAACCTCTGCAGATGGGGCAGGGAATACTCAAGACCGTCGCAGAAGGAGATCTGGATCGTTGCGCCTGTCCTGATCTGCCTTCTTCCTACGCCCAGCTCCGCCACGTTGCCTCTGATGATGAAATGCGTGGAGGAGAAGAATGGCGTCTCCAAGCACATCAGCCGCTTCATCCTCCCCATCGGGGCCACTGTCAACATGGACGGGGCCGCCCTCTTCCAGTGCGTGGCTGCCGTCTTCATTGCCCAGCTCAACAGCATCCCGCTAAACTTCATCCAGGTCATCACCATCCTGTAAGTGCCTCCACCTTCCTTGCTTCCTTTTGCAGCTCCGTTCCTTCCTTCCCCGCTCGCTGGCGAGGTCGCGTTCTCTAAAAACACTGACCAAGCCTTTTTTTTCCAAAGCCCCAGGCCCCTGGGATGTGCGACTTGTGTTTTTTCTGGCAAAAGAGGCAGCCCAAATCCTGTTGTCATATTGTGCCAGCATAATGCCAAAGGCGTAAAGTTTTGGTCTGAAATTGCCTGACGTTAAGAAGTCAGCTATGGTATTATTTATTGCATGCAAGGCATGCACCGGGTAATGCCGACGCTGACGTCTTAATGTAAGGCAATTCCAGGCCAAAATTTCACACCATTTCCCATATGCTTGTGGACATAAATAACAGGATTTTAATGATTATTTATGGACTGTCTTCGTATTTTGCAAAGACAGAGATTGGCTTGCCCTCTTCTTAAACCTTGGCAACTGTCGTGACCCATTTTGCACCGTATAGCCAGAGCTTGGAGGGGGGGGGGACTTTTTGGACTACAAATGTTAGAATCCCCAAGCCAGGATGGCCACAGTTCTGGGAGTTATCAAAGAAGAGAAAGAAAAAGAAAGAAGTTTTGTTGTCAATTCCTTGCTTTCGTGTCATAAACATGATAGTGTGTCTGCCCAACACTCCAGAATGCGGAACAGCTCTCGGTCTGTCTGTGGGCAGACCATGGTACGGATTTGGTTCGGTTTGGGAGGTTGTACGGCACACAGTCTTCCTCCAACTGAGTCATCTGATCTCCTGTCTTCCTGGCACACTCCCTTGCATACCCCAGTTGCCGTTTAAACTTTTGCAACCCTTCCCTGGCGGGTCATGCAGGAGGATGAAAAACAAGACGGGGCTCAAGTTGCTCAGGTTCTGCGTTTGGCGTGACATAATTTTGTCACACGCCACGGGATCACGAGGTTGCTGCAGAAACAAAGGGAAGATTCAGGCTGGGAGGTTGTTTGGGGACATGAAGAGTGGGAGAGCAGAGAGGAGATCCCAGTGCCCCATGAAAGGCAGAGACTGGTGTGCTGCAGAGCTTCAATTAGCGAGGATCTGTGGCCAGGCTTGCTTTCTCGAGTGGGTTCAGCAAGTTGGTGAAAGCAAGCTGCTCCTTCTGCAGCACCAGCAGCTTGCTGAGGGAAGTTTTGAAGAAAAGCAGAGCTTGTTTGGCACGGCAGCTTCTGCACTCACCACTAGGGATGGGCACAAACTGGTTCGTGCCAGTTCATAAAGTTGGCAGCACAGGTGCTGCTCCCCTCCCCTGCCTCCTCAGGCAGTCAGCCCCTCGCCAGGCCCCGCTTGCTTGCTTTCCCCACCTCCTCAGCTGAACTCCCAGTCACGAGCAAGAGCACAGACTTCTCTGCCCCGCCCTTTTCTCTGATTGGCAGATCAGTCCAGAGGGGAGGGGCAGAGAAGCCTGAGCTCTTGCTGGGACTGGAAGATCAGTTGAAGAGGGGCAGGAAACTAGCAAGCTGGGCTGATGGGTGAGGGGCTGATTGAGGCAGAGGAAGGAATAGCAGCATCTGCATTGCAGCCTTGACGAACTAGGACGAACCGGTTCGTGCCCATCTCTGTTCACCAAATCCTGGCTTTGTTTAGGATGGAGAGGCACCTCATCGATCCTTAGTCCTTCTGTAGAAGGCCACACACTCCACGTGCTTTCCTGTCACCTCGGCGGCTAGCTCTTCTTTGTCCCTTGCCCAACCTGTTTCCTCCCCCATTTAGATTCCTCATCTTCTTAGAACTTCGGTTGCTGGTTTGCTCCAGGGGATCTGGGCCAAAAGAGAGGTTTCCTCAGGCAGTGAGTTCAGCCTTTACAAGGATCTGTGTTCTGAGTTGCAAGACTGGGTTTTTTTCACCCCCCGAGTGGTTATTAGTAAAATATTTCTGTAAATATTTCTGAGCCCTGGAAGGTTAAGTGTTCTTCTAGGGGCCTGGAGGTGCTTAATCATCAACCGCAACCCGTTAAACATGCTGCACAGGGGTGAACCTGCAGGTTTGGTCAAACGGAGTTACTGGAGCGCAGGTTTTTGGGGTGGGGGGGAGAGAAGGTTTGTTGCACTCCTTGGAACAATCCCAGCATGATTTGCTCTGTGCCTTTTTTTATCCGTTCGTCAGCTTTGGGTTGAAGGTGTCGCCTCCTTCGATCCAACCCTCCAAGTTTTGTTTTGTTTGGGGTGTCATAATGAGCTGCTCTGAGTGCAGCAGGCATGACAAACCGGTTTCAGCTCACAGGATCCTGCAAAGAACACTGCCCTCCAGGACCGGATTTAAGTCCAAGCGCTCAAGCTTGTGTCAACTCTGAGGGGCAATCTAGGGGCCCCGGCAGGATTCTTTGTGAGATCCCTCCTAGCTGTCTCCCGTCCAGCCGCTCACCAGGGCAGACTCAAGCTTGGCTTCCAAAAGCAGGCAGTTACCAGGCGTGGTTGGGGTGACTTGATGGTGTTCTCTTTCTGGAGGAAGGTTGATGGGAAAACTCCAACCGGACTGCAGTTTGCCAGCGGAGTGGATGAGCTGGTGGACTCTCCTGCTGGCCTAGCAGACTCCAGTTGCACCTCCTCCCGAGCCAATGTTTTGAAGAATCTGGCTGACGCTTTTGTTTTGCAAACAAAGTTTTCCATCTTGACCTTCTCCCGAGCCAATGTTTTGAAGAATCTGGCCGACGCTTTTGTTTGGCAAACAGTTTTCCATCTTGACCTGGCTGGTTCAACCGGTATTACCAAAGCTGGTGGGGGAGAGAAAGGGAGGGTTTGTGAAAGGTGGCACCTCCGGGCCACCTTCCAAAACTGGCATTTGCACTGCATAGCAAGTCTGGCATTTGAGGAGCCCAGTCTGACCTGCCTGCCTTCCACCCGCAGGGTCACTGCCACGGCGTCCAGCGTCGGAGCGGCCGGGATCCCTGCTGGTGGCGTCCTCACTCTTGCCATCATCCTTGAAGCTGTGGGGCTGCCCACCAACGACATCTCCCTCATTCTGGCGGTCGACTGGCTTGTGTAAGTCCAGGGCGGTTGGGGAGCGGAAGGTTTGAAGGAAATGGGACAGGGATGGGGGAGGAAATGATGGGCTCTCTGCCCATCTTCCTGGGATCCTAGAGCAAGGGGAGGCAGCTATTCCGGCCCCCTGCGGAAAGGACGGGACATGTTCTGGCCCCCTCCTCTTCTCCTTCCCCTGGCACTTCCTGGTACTGTTGTTTTAGCTCTTTTGTCATTCACCCACCAGACATTTTTCATTCAGCTGACGAGAGCCCAAATTCAGTCATCAATTCCAACTCAAGTAGACCACTGAACGAATGACATTGATGGAAACACAGAGTCGGCGTTCCACCAGTGATTCAGTGGGCATCCCCTGATCAGGAACAGCGACTAGATTTAGACGCACCCCACCCCCACCCCCAAAATATATTCTGTTTTCCTAGTTGTTTAGAAGTTGTGCTGAGAAGCCAGGAGAGGCCTGGTTTGGAAAGCTTGGCCTCTGCTAGAGAAGTGAGCTTTCTGCTTGATTGGCAAGACCCTCGCCTTCAGGCTGACCTCCAGTTTCCCAGTTCACCCGCAATGCTATTTTTCTGCTCCCCTGGGTGAGAGATAGACTCCCTGTTCCACAGGCCCGTTCCGTGAGGCTTGGTGACCCCGGGGTGCTGGAGGAAAGTGGCCAGCCACCTTGTGTTACACCTGGCCTGTCTTTAGGAGCCGGGAATCCATGAGCATTCCCGGAGGCCTGATCCAAGCAGAACCCTCCGTGTCTTAGCCCACCTTTCAACGGAAGCCCATGTTCTCCTTCCCAGTCACCGATGGCAAGGTAGAGCAACCTCCTTTGCAAACTGCAGGAGGCGTGGAAAGCTCCTGCTGTCGCCCTCTCAGACACCCTTGGCGTTGAAAGAATCCCCTCTTCTAATAACAAGTGTTCTGTAGCCCATCGTGGCCTTTTGGAGATTCCCCTTGGAGGGATGTTCTGCCTCTTGAAGCAGGAAAGGAGCCAATCTGGAGCAGTATCCGGTCCTGAATTTCTGCTGCTGGAACAGGAAAATCTAGCAGAAATGGGAAGGATGATGCTCCAGCCGCCACCTTCTCTGTGCCCTGAAAAACAGTTTGGAAGACTGACTTTTCAAAGGGCACGGAAAACAGGCAGCGGGGGGGCAGGGGACCGTTCCACCAGCACGGTACTGGATGTAGACACCCATCCCATGAGGTTGTATTGCAAAACCAGTGCCTCTTGTAGAGATCCTGATTGCCTCTTGTTGGTCCCCCGTGGCTGGCTCTTGGAGGTAGACTGCCTCTGAACGGGGAGGTTCTATCTAATCCTGATTGCCTCTTGTTGGTCCCCCGTGGTTGGCTCTTGGAGGTAGACTGCCTCTGAGGTTCTATCTAGTTAATACTGCTAACAGTGGTTGGTTAACTTGAGGGAATATTTTCCTAGCAACCCCAGCCATCACCTCTTTCTCTTTCCTCCCCCCCCCCAGAGATCGTACCTGCACCGTCCTGAACGTGGAAGGTGATGCTTTCGGTGCAGGGCTCCTGCAGGTGTACACGGAAAAGTCGATGGGCAAAGCGGAAGCAGAAGAGCTGATGGAAATCAAGACGGATGGCCTGGGTGTGAACAAGGGAGCCGAGGAGGGCTCCCCCCTCATCAAGAGAGACGGTTCCACACATTTAGATGGTGTCGGCTCTTGTGAAAAAGAGTCTGTGATGTAATTGGCGTATCAAAAAATGGGGACATTTTGGGAGCCTTGTTTCCCTTTCTTAGTTTTTTTTTAAATGATAGGATTTTTTAAAGGACAGAGTTCAAATCTCCTCCACTCTTTAGGACTTGGGTCTCTCCTAAGATGGCGCGCTTCATTTGGTGATGGCACACTTTTTTGATTCCAGCTCTACCCATTTCCAGCTTCTAAAGGCCTGACCGCTCACTCTTCCTCACGGAAGTTTTCAAAATCTTCTGTTTCAAATGAGAATTCCGCGGGGACTTTTTGGAAATTGCTCCGTCTGACCTTGGACCCCCAAGGAGACAGGCTTGTGGGAGTTCGATGCGGTTGCGAACTCTTGCCTATTCTCAGAGATGCTCTTCTGTGTACGTTCCAAGCCAGGTCTTGCATTTAAAAAAATTTCCAAGATGGAAATTGACAGCAGCATCCGCGGGAGTCTCTTGGGTCACTCTGTCCTTATTCCTGGACCTCCCGCTATTTTGCTTCTTTTTAACTTTATTCTAAATATCGGACCAAACTAACAGGAAGAGGAACATCCGGAGCTCCCGTCTCACACACACACCCCTGCGTTGAACTCTGCGACCTGCCAGCCATCCGACTCCTGTTTCCACTTCTCCGGCTTGTCCTCATGCTGGAGATTCGCTGAGTCCAACTCTTCAACTCAGCTGAACTCCGGGAAGGTATTTTGTTTCCTGTCCTGCACCAACTTGAGAACTTGATGAGCACACAAGGTGCCTTTTTCCAGATCAGCAACTGTTCAGGGTGAGCGAGTTTTTTCCTTTCACAACCCTCGTCTACCATTCCTGGTCACCGTGTCTTGGAATCCACATGCTGAGATTTGAGTCCCTCGATCACCGCCTCTGTGACCACCACGGGCACGGCCGCCTCGTGTGAAGGGCGTAAAACCCATAGGCTTCACTCCACCTCTCCGTGTGTGTCTGTGACTTTAACCTCTGTGGCTTGATGAAGTGGCCACTGTGTGTGGCGTATAGCCGAGAGGGAATTTAATTTATTTCTGGGACTTATAAGAGAGTGGAATGGTTTCTCTTTCAACACTGGATTTATGGTGGAGATGGGGGTAAAGGTAGTCTTTCTTCTGAGAATCTGAGACAGCCTTAGATTTTCCCTTTGTCTATAGTTCCCCACCTCTTGCTCCCATCTTATGCTGAGAAGATACCAGCCTTGCAGTAGGGGGATCGGCAACTGGTGTCCCTTGGACCAAATGTAGGCTGAGGGGCGTTGCAACAAACATTTTCAGACTGTAGGCAAGGAAATGGAAAGGGGTTGTTGTTGGTGGTATTAACCTGCTCTCTATTTCAATCCCCGCATAAGCCCCAGAATGGTGGAACGCTTTTCTATGTCTGCAGAGGTCTCGACAACCATGAGGACTGGGAACTTAAACTTCTTTAGATTTTCTCAGCTGAGAGTCTCCCTATGGGATTGGATGCTGCCATGCGTGTCCTTTGTGATTGCTCCGCCTTGCTATTATCATTTGCCTTTGGGGGGACCCTCTTCCAGGCCTTGGGACCTGGTGGCATACCTTGGGGGACCCTCTTGCGTCTTGTTTTCGGACTGCAACCCCCAGGATTCCCCAGGCACTGGGAGGGATTGTAGTCCAAATAATACAAATCTCCACATCTGCTTTTCACAGATGGAAATGTGGGACATGACTTGAAATCTCGTTTCAGTAGATTTAGTTGGTAAACAGAGTCTCTTTTTATTTTCGTGGGTCAGCTTCGTAGAGTTTTGTGCCCAAATCCAGTTTCTTTCTGTGAAGCATGGAAAAAGGCCAGCCACTAGAAGGGGCAACTGGGTTTGGTGGGTACGGTTGAATCCTGAGGACGTGACTTTAAAGAGGCAGGCTCAGGCTCCAATTGGGTTGAGTTGTATTTATGATTTCTATCGTGTCTTTGGATGAAAAGAAGGCATTCTTGTGCAGAAAACACGCCTTTAACCTCTTCGGCTGCTAAAAAGGTTCACTTGGTGAAAATCTTAAGAAAGGAGAGGGCTGGGTGATCCCAGGCTGACAGGAAGGGGTATCATCCTGCCTGCATTGCTGTATCTCCTGAAATCTGAATGTAAAAGAGGTCAGGCAGTGCCGACGGTCAGCAAAAATGAGTCGATTCCTGAACAGTTCATATCCCATGGCTTGTCCCATCCTGTCTTTCCAAAAAGTCCTGGAAAAAGAATCAAGAAAACGTAGGCATCGAGGTTGTGTGCAAAGCCGTCCTAAAGGACAATCCTGTGAGGTGTAAAAACTGGATTTGTATGGCCATTATGTAAATATGGTCAGAGAATGCCGTCTTCACACTTGGTAGTTCTACAGCCTTCCTGGGTTCTGAGATACCCATATGGCCATGAGGGCTAGAAACTTGATTATCTGGAAAATAAAAGGTACCGTCTTCCAAACACTGAATGTCAAAACTTTACTCCTGGGGGGAAGCAGATTTTGCTTGAATATGTACAAAATCTTACTGCCGGTCTGTCTGGTGGCTGGCCCTTCCTTTGTGAACCCCTCCCCCCCTGGTGCCTGAGAAGAGCTTTAATTGTGGTCCACATTCAGGATGTATATTTAGCGTGAGAAGCCAGATCGCGCTCTCAATATACATTTTGGCACTGTGGAAATCATCCTTGTGCCACACGTTCCCTTGACAACCATTACCAAGGCAACCTGACCGTTACGTCTGTCAGGAGAAGAGATCCAGGTGAGAGATGGAGGCTGTGGAATTAGCATCTTCATGCGGCGGTCTCCATGCCAGGCACCAGCGGATCTGATTCAGACTTAGAATAAGCCTGTTTCTGGAGTGCGGTCCTCGGACTTGGCCAGCCTATCAAGGAAGGGGGGGGGTGAAGACTGGAGGAGGGCCATGCGTAGTTGGCCAGGGAGAGCAGCGGATCTGATTCAGACTTAGAATAAGCCCGTTTCTGGAGTGCGGTCCTCGGACTAGGCCAGCTTATCAAGGAAGGGGTTGAAGACTGGAGGAGGGCCATGCATAGTTGGCCAGGGAGAGTTTGCCATCCTACACTGGGCTTCCCAAAAACGTTGGCTTCCAGAATTAGCAAAGGTTCTAGCTCTCATGGCGTCAGTGACACCGGAGAATGGCTGCAGAACTCAACAGGAACCAGAGAGGTGGCTTGTATTTTTTCAGCTAGTAGCTGCAGAAGGCCAGGCATTTCTCCCTTCCTGTTCACCAAGGAAGTCCAAAATGAAAACAGTGGAAAGAACAAGGTACATATTGCGCAAATCAGGATAAAGGCAGCCTTTTAAAATTCCATTTGCCCATTTTGTACAGGATCTTAATGTCATTTTTAGCTGGGGGCCTTTTAGCAGTGATGGTAAAAGGTCGATCCCTCCTACCCGATAACAGCTTCTTGACACCCCTTGTTCATCTTCCCCAAGTCCTATCATCTGCCAGGACCCCAAATTTTCAGAAGAAAAAGAGAGGATGCAGATACTGCTTTCTCTGTGTTTCCTCGGCAAGGATCCTTCTCTGCGTGCTGGTGGTTTCCTAAAGCTTTCAGGCCTGGTATTTCTTGGGGAAGGTCTAAGAATTCTCTACTTGGTTGTTGCAACAGGCAAAGAGGCCGGCGAGACATGTTCGTAGCTGCTCATGTCAGTGCTGCTAACCATTCTGCCTTCTGCTCCCGTTGCTGACATACCGGAGTTGGCCAGGTCTCCTGCGTTTTGGTCCACTGGGCTGTGGGAGGGAAGACGGGTCTGCGCCTGTTGGGACGAATGAGGAGGAGTGTGTTTATACACAACCGTTTTTCTTTCCGCCCTGAAGGGGTTGCGTGGGTGGTGGGGAGAATCAAGTTGCCGCAACATGCAGAGAAATAAAGCCAATGACTAGAAGCAGGCACGTGTCTGCGTTTCCTTCGCTTGAATGTAGCCTTTCTCTACAGAAAGTCTTCCAACTGAAGGTAGGTTTGATTCTTAAGACTCCCATTCAGTGGCGGACCTACATTTTTGGGGTCCTGAAGCTTGAGCGGTTAGGGAGTCCCCTTCAAACCAGCAACAAGGTCTGGGGAACCCCTGTTACTTTCCTCCATGGGGCTGATCCACAACAGACCACCGCCATTTTGTTGTTCTTTTTTCTTTTTGTAGTAATTGAAAAATTGTCTTGGCGCACCGTGAAGGTTAGTAAGTCATGCTTGGCATACATTTGTGTAGATGGTCGGCCCCTGCATCTGAAGAAGTGGGTGATAGTCCACACAACCTTATTCTAAGCAAAGCCCATCACCTCCCAGGCTGGCATGTTCTTTACCTCTCCCGCCCTGTACTTCCCCGATCCTTTTCAACCACATCTCGGGGCGAAGGCTGCCAGCCACATCAAGCATTCCAGTGTAATTAAAGGAAGTTTTTCCATTCGGGGCATCGGGAAGGCTGTTTCCAACAAGAACAAAACTCTGTTCCACCACTAATGAGCACCCTTTGTCTGCAGGCTGTGATCTCAGGCCAACCTGCGCTCCCTGGCCTGTCCCGACACTTTTTACCAAATTGCCAACGCTTGTTGATGGGGCAAGGAGGTGTTCACCAGCCCTGTTGTGTGAACAAAGAAATGTGGGACTTTGAGGTACAAGGAAGAACAAGTCTTGGGGCAATGTAGACTCTTGTGACTTGCCTTAGCTTGTCTTCTGCTTTTTGCCCTTTAGTGCCCAGAAACGTCTGGGACCTCCCATGTGCACGCAGGAGATCGGTTGGCAGAGCATCTGAAGGAAGCCAGAGGCTTGGCATCCAAGCGGCTGGGGGGGGGAGAGAAGAACATTGGCACGACCTCCCCCCAGCGGCTTTACCAAGAGAGGGATCCTTTCTGTTGCACATGAGAAGAGGTGGCAAAGGATGTAAACAAAAACAAACAAGCTGGCATCTCCTGTAAAAGAGTCTCCATTACTGAGCAGGCAAAGGGCATTAAGAATTCTGGAAATCAGCTGGCAGAGTACAGGTGAGACGGGTGAGCCCCTGTTGCTCATTTCCTCAATGGCACATTCTTCGAAAGCAATAACTTCGGAATTGCCCCCATCTGCCTGGGGGAGCACTGGCAGCCTTCGTTACAGAATGCATTCATTCAACCCTTTGAAGGCTGTGTTACAGCCTGGAAGATTGGTTTTAAAATTTGCCATGTGAATTGGAACACCTAGTACTAAACGAAGAGGGTGAGATTTGTGTGGAGATTCTGGAAAATATGTTCCTGTTTCCAAAAAAAAAAAAAAAAAAAACAGGAAAAAATTTGTTACCAGTCACAAGGGACCCAAACCTACAAAGGTATAGTTAGAAGAAATCCCCACTAGCGTTTAATCTCAAAAGAAAACCCCACTGCTGGCACCATTGCTAGCAAAACATGGTATGGTTTATGTCCCCAAACAGGGTCCTGTCCTGATGCAGCTTTTCATGGTGACTTGAAATAACAGGGGGAAAGGCTCTCTACTCATTTCCACAGGAGAGATGTCTCAGTCTGTTGGATCAGACTGAGCCCAAGGTGCCTGTGGCTTCTGTAAAACTGATAACATGATTACAGTGTGGGTTTTCGCGGACCAACGGCCCACTTCCTTTGAGGCACCCTCTGCTCCATTTCTGCCTCCTGGGCAGCTGTTGGGTTTTGCACAGGACTGTCCAGCTTAGAAAACTAGATTTCCCAAGGGACCTGGCTTACTCTGTTTGAGATACCAGGTTGCATCAAAAGCCTGGAGCACGGTGCAAATTGGGGACACAGCAGCAATCAAGCAGGAAAAGGGGGAAAGGAGCCTTTACGGCTCAAATATTTCAAGATTTGGGGGCACGGCTCTCTGAATTAAGCCCACCTGATGACAACGATGGCTGCCCTTCTGCTGCCAAGCACAGGATATTACACAGCAAAGACCGAAGGGGTGACATATTTGCCTCTTCTAACTCTAGTGGAGAACTTCTCTCCCAGGATTAGAGCCTGCTCCAACCTGGTCCACATGTCTTGCCCATTTTGATCCCTGCTTCCCTTTCAGGCTCATGTGTTTCCTGCACAGGAGATGATGTTTCCTTTAGCTTCATCCTTTTCCTGTATGGTAGGATTCCTTCCTTCCTTCCTTGTCTACATAGTCAGCTGGAGGAGTGATAAAATATTTGAAGGCCAGCCATTTACTTTTCTGTATGTTGTCCCCTGTGTCAGCAGGCAGCCAAGAGCCAGAACATGGAAAGAGAACATGCCTTTAAATGTTTATGCTTTTTAAAAGAGTCACAGTAACTAGAAGAAAAAAACTATCATACGGAACAGCCTGGGCAGTGGAGTACTGCGGCTTTTAGCAGGAGCTGTACATCTGTTTTCCACTTTTCTGTGCCTCTAATGGGAATTGAGAGTGGGGGGAGCCACTACGGTATTATATGATGTGGAGGCCTAATTTAAACATCCCTTCTGCTTTCTAAATCACAATCACCCTATGCACACAGATGCCGCAAGAATGCGCAGCAAACTCTCTATATGTACATTCAGCAGTGCCCAAGACAGTGGCCTTCAACTAGTCTTCCTTAATGGCCTGCTGCCCTCCAGCTATGTTGGACTACAGCTATCATCATCCTTGACAGCATGAGGGGCAAGGTGCACAAAGCCGATGGGTCATGGCCCATCCTGCATTAGAGGCACCAAAATGTTTCCCTCTCGCCTACCTTTTCTAGAAAGCAGAAAGAGAAGGCAGAGTATGGGAGACTCATTGTACACTGGTTTGTCACAGTCCGTCATTCAAAATGCCCAGATAATACTAGTTTGGTGCAGGTTATGAGAATGCGGTAGAGACATCCTCAATTCTGTGGCAAAGGAGCAGATTTCTGGGGTGCTTAGGGACCTCAGGAGGGAGCAGCAGGATCCAACATCAGCACAACCATAAAAAAGTCACACTCCTAGGCGTTTTAATCTGGGTAACTTTCAAGAAACAGGTTTTGGTTTTCAAGCTGAAAGCACAGCATTGGCTCATAACCTTTCCTCCCGAGGGGGGGGGAAGGGGCACCAAGCCTTCCATGTGACTGCCATACAAAATCCTCACGGCAGTTTTAAAAATTCCTTTATCTCTGTGGCTGAGAACATAAAACCCAGTTGCACTTAAACTATACAGTCACACCTGCATAAGGCACTGATGGCAATAAGGAAGCCATTTGTGCGGACACGGAGCAAGAGGGCATGGTGTGCAAAGCCACTTCCTGTGTGCTGGCATCACAGCCCCCAAAAGGCAGTGCATTTTAGAAGAGAAGAGACGCTCCTGCGCCAAGCCAGAATCCTGTTCCAGACACTGGAAGCGACCAGGAAAGGATTGTGCAATCCTTCGCCTCTGGGAGACAGGCGTGCGTTCCCTGCCCACCTGACCCTCTATAAACCATTGTGCCCAGGAGGAAGGAGAGCCTGGCAGTTCCCAGAATTCCCAGCCAATGGGGTCTTTGGCCAAATTAAAATTTGAAACTTTTCTTGTCATGCCTTCTTCCTTGCAAGCAGGGGTGGCCAAAGAGTAGTTGACCCCCCAACTTGCCTGCTATCGCAGCCCGGTTGAACTCTCCCACAACTTTAGCCAGAAATGGTTTTCTCCAGCAAAACAGAGGCAAACTGCTACTCCTAAAAGCCGGCCAGGACCAGTGATTCTGTTTTCAAACAGGTCGTATTTCAAAACGGCAATAATGAAGATCAAAAACACCAACGCCAGTCTCTCAAATCTGGAACTGGACTTCCCGTTCCTTTTCCCACAGCTGTTTCCTTTCTTTCTCATATCTGGAGATCTTTGTGACACCCAGAGGATCTCTGTGGCAGAAAAGGGATCCCTGTACCGGCCAAAGTTGCCCACACAGCTGTGATTGACCCCTGCTTAATCCTGCTTTCCCCAGCCCTGTGCCTCCTAGACTCCGAGGACTACAACTCACACACCCCTACGGGACTAAGATCAACAAGTCAGGGAAGGATGATTTGTATCTGACATCCCTGCTTAACAGAGTGATATTTTGTACCTGATTTTACAACACTCATCTTTTTTTATTTTTCAAAACAAACAACAAGGGAGGGAAACATGACCAAATGTAAAAGAAACAATTAAATGTGAATGCCACAAAGTTTCTTTTACTTTTTTATTGTTATTATTATTATTTCAATCCTTTTGAAAACACAAGAAGTTCGAGGCCGGGGCCACGAAATGCACTACTTGTGCCAAACACATGCGATGCATCCCACAGTTTATCAGTGAGCAACTTTTAGGTAGATAAGATGAAACAGCTGTACCAAACAGCCCTTGAACAAATTTAAACGCTCTGGATGCATGTGGGTTGTACAGTATTCACACAAACACACTCTTCCTTTTTTGGGGTGGGGAGGAAGGTGCAAGTCTCATGCAACACAGTAAGACTTCCTTTCAAGTAGACATATATGGGACCGAGCAGCACAAGATGTGAGAGGTAGGCGCTGCGCAACTTGTTTAGAAAGTGCCAGCTCAGTCCTTGGTTTTCTCTTTTTAGACAATTTCATGCGCTGAAATTTTGCAGAGTACCTGTTAAGTGGATCTAAAGTGTTTTGAGTCCAAAACAACAAGTCATTCAAGTTTGCTTTGCAGTGGACCATTACTTAATTGAAACGGGAATAAATGTGCCGGCTATGAGACTTCAGTGAAAGTACCTCTGGGGTGGAGCCGGATGGAGTGAAAAAGGCTCTCTTCAAACTGAGAGTAATTCCAGTTTCATTAAAAAAATAAAATGCCCTACCCTGCTTAATTCAGGGGAAAGTGACCACTGCCTGACCTTCTTCAACAAGGCAGAGATTTGGGCCTATGCAGCGCGACAGGGATCAGAGTTTGTAATCTTCGCCCTCTGTAGACAAGTGAAACCGACACGAGAAGGGCCAAGAAAGAACATTTTCCCCTGATGGACTAGCTTTCTTCTTGCAAAGAGCTTGTTCATGAGAAATAGTGTTCAAAAGGGTGTGCCGCACAAGGGAAACCTGAAATACTCTTATTGGCCTACTGCGATGCCTTGGAATGCCACCTTCTCCTCAGATAACAGGTTAAGGGTCAATGAGAGGCAACAGCTGCAGAGAGAGAGACAATCTTCTAGCATCCTAAGTATTTGCTCTTCTTAAATCTTCCCTTTTATGGGCATAGGAATGCAGGTTTTTGCAATGAATGGCCAACCCCGGCAGTCCCACTAGAAAGCAGCTTTATTACTATCTTACTAACCAAGGGCCTTGCAAGAAGGGTGGATCTGCAAGGGTCATATGAGCAGGGCTCATGTGGAAAGAGTCTCCTTTACCCTTTCCCAGACCCCAGCAGTCACTTCTCCCGTTGCGTTCCAGCCGGATTTTGCTGGCAACTGCTGAAAACAAAGAGGCGAAGCCTTTCTTACATGCCCAAGAGCTACCTGTTCTAATTCTTGGTCTGTGATTGCTGCTTGGTTAGCTTCTCTAAAACCTGCTTCCGATCCTTGACTAGTCAGTCTATCTCACCCTCTCCTCAAAATTCCTTCTGGCAAGGGGGAAATGTTGAAATTTAATTGGCCACCGTGCGAACAGGATGTTGTGCAGCTGTGAGGCTTGCAGCCCTCTGGAACAGCCTCCTTCCCTGATAATCATTCTTTTTGAGACGCGTTTGTTATAGAACAGTGAAATACAGTCTCCACAGACAGAGGGCATCTGCTTCTGAATCTCAGCTGCTGGGAACGAACAAGGGAAAAAGATTACCTTCACTCTCTGTCTACAAGCCCCCTGGAGGCATCTGGCCGGCTGCTGGCAGGAACAGAAGGCTGGGCTCCAGAGGCCTTTGGCCAGATCAGGCCAGGCAGTTCTGGTGTACATTCAGTGTTGCAAACATCTCCCTCACACTGCGCAAACGCTGAGGTCCCGGCAACAAGCAGCTAGACCCCTGAGCGCAGCACGGCCTGTATGCATTTGGTATTCAAAAGAGGGAAGGGATTGGCATTGGGACACTAATCCACAGCCTCCTCTCTCCTGTGAGCACCCCGTCTGTTGCCCTTATCCATCTTTTTCAGGGCTGGGTTAGGATACTCGGGGTTCTCAATCGCCCCTTCTCCAAACTTCAGCTCCAGGAAGCTCCGGAAATTGTTGGGTGCCAGGGCAAGGAAACCAGCAAACTGGATGGGGACCAAGGGCTTCAGGAAGTGTTCGGGGAACTCAATGTCCTGCCGGTGGTCCATCCACGTGTCTTTCGTCATCACCCCATTCTTGGAGTAGAAAGGCCACAAGTCCACGTGCAAATGGTTGTGTTCGCTGTACTGGACTCGGAAGAAGTCCCCCTCGATGGCCTTCTCCCAGACGAAACCCTTCTCGTCCACAATCGAGCCGGCCTCTGCGCTCCTGAGGAGCTCACAGTTCGGGATATCTTCCAGGTAGATGCCGAGGTCCACGTCGTAATCCCACGGGATGATGTCTTGGTCACGGGCCGCCCCGAGAAGCGTCCCGCCTTCCAGCCAGTACCGCACCCCGGAGGTCTCCAAGATGTTGATGACGTATTTGGCCGTCTCCCTCAACGCTTTGAGGCAGCACGGAGGAGTCCAGCGGTTCCGGTAGAGGTAGTCTGGCATGTCGTTGTGGATGGTGCCAAAGCATCGCGGGGTCTCTTTGCTGCAGCCAAACCATTGCTCCTTCCCGTCCTCCAGGATCACTCGCTTGATGCCAAAGTCTTGGAACAACTGCAGCCGGTTGGCCTTGGCCAGGTTGTCTGCCTTCCACTGGTTATGAGAGGAGGACAGCAGGGGCAGGTGGAGGGAGGAGAAGGAGATGCCGACCACCCGGACAGCCCAGCCTCGCAGGGAGCTCTGAATGAAGAGGGAGGTCAGCAGGGGCTTGGCCAAGGGCACCGAGAGATTGAAGAGGTCCCTGGTGCGGAGGAGAAGGACAGCCTCTCCCCGTAAGGCCTGGCACAGCTTGGAAGAAGGAGGCGATGCCATGTACTCAGCTGTCCATTCCTTTAGGCTCACCTTAAGGTTCAAGCACTGGAGAGGGGCCAGCGCCTGCACTGGAGCGGCCACCATCTTGGCCTCATTTTGGCTGCTCTTGAACTCCTCCAACATGCGCTCCAACTGGGATGTCGAATCCGCCTTCACCCCGTCGGGTACCAGGGCCACGTATTCTGTCCTCACGTAAGTCTCCGGCCTAAACGTGTGGATGGCCTGATGGGGGGAAGGCTTGAGAAGGACCACCTGGACATTGGGAGCGCTGGGTAGAACCATGGGAGGGTACGGAAGGCGGTCTGCCACCACCACCACCGGAAGCTCGGGCTGGTCTTTCAGGAAAGACCGCACCACGTCAGGGACATAGTTTTCAAAGTCCTCGAACTCCCGGATAAGGAGGGTCACACCAGGCCTCAGAGGAGAACAAAGCTGCTGATGGGAGCCCGGTGGCACGCGGTCCCTGTGTCGGTGTAAGACGCGCTGCTGTAGCCGTGAGATGTAGTAGAGGACGAGCAGATTAACAGCTATGGCAGCGACTAGCACCCCCTGGCAGAAGGTGATGCGCATCTTGTGAAGGCAGGAGAGAAGCTAAAAGGCTCCCTGGTCTCTGGCCCAAGGTGGGACCTGCAGCGCCAGGCTCGGCCATCCAAATTTGGTTTACCTGGCAGTCATAAAGAAGGAACAATTGCAGAATTACGACTCTGAGGCTCAGATCTACTCTGAATGCATCCAGGGGAAAGAAAAATTCCATAGCCTAGACCTTCAAAACTTTACTTCCTTTTCAAAATACTGACCAGTTGCAGAACATCAGGTACCTCACTGAAGGCAAAATTTGGGTTATGGTGTTCTATCAAGACTGGGATTTCAAGGAGGAGAGCATTTACAGCTGCTGCTGGGAAGCCAGGTAAGCCAGACAGGTAAATCCTGCTGGATGGACAACGCTAAACAGACAGGGAAGCTGTGTGGGAACAGCACCTTCCAAGAGGAGTAAAGCCAGAGAGGACACACCAACATTCCTGTGAGCATGCTTTGAGTTCCTGCTGAGCATCAGCGGCAGCAGAAAAGCCAAACAAAAGAGTCACGCTAATGAGCATGGTCCCTCATGGCCCCTCAACATATGCTTTTTTTTTTAAACCACTAATCTTTCTGGTGTGGCAGATGGGCAGGGGAGGGGCTGCTTTTATTTAATCTTGTTTAGAGCAAGCTTGTTCATTTCCCTGGAGGGATCAAGGGCTTTCTGTTGTTAAAGGAACCATAACCTCTTTGCAGCCTTCCCTTTCCTGAACAGACAACGAAAAAGGGTGGGGAGAAGGAAGCCAGCCTCACCTGAGGGTGGTCTATCCACCAAAAGGGAAGGGAACATACATTTTCTCAGTCCCCTTTTGTATAATAACAGAGCCAGTGCTTCCTCATCATCTGCCACACTACGGGCAGACTGCTTGATTCTCACTGACTGGTCTCTGGAGGACAGATGTAATGTAGCCCTCAAGCCAATGAACTCCTCAAGGGAACACCTTCACTTCTTTCCCCATAAGAAAGCGGCTGCCTGCCTTCTTTCCTTCCTCCTGGGCACTGCTGTGGTTCCTTTCCTCCCAGGAGCCTCAGATCATATCCTGACACTCTAGGCCATACCTTACATTAAGTACTATACTTGAGGAAAAAATCTGTGGTGAAGGCAAATCTCTCAGCTTCTGCAAAGCACACCTAAGTTCTGAGATGATGAGGATGACAAGGAGCCCAGTGGATCTCTGGTGGTAAAGGACACGAAGATGATTGCTTCCCACTATCCCCATATAGCCCATGCAACACCCAAGGCTCCCTTGCTTGCCACATATGTCCTGACAGGTATTTCCCTCAAAATGATAACTGCATTGCCTAATATTTATACAGTAACAACTTTTCTTAGGCATTGTCGGTACGGCCTTGTAAAGTAGGTTGTTGTTACGCTGCCTTTCAATAAAATCACCACCTCCAGCCACTTGCAAGGGTAAACAAGAACACAACATTGCAGACAACATGTCTATGACAAGAACACAGCAGACGCAGTGAGTCTATATAACACACCAGTCCAGCTACAGCAGAACAACTGCATGGAAATTCTGTTGCCGTCAAGGTGGTGGACCTTGAATCCTACTAACTCTCAGGCATGTTGTAAGGATGAAATGGGTGGGAGTAGAATGACCCATGTCACCCGTGTCTTGGGGGAGGAATGCTTCATAAGCTGCAACAAATAAAAATAAATGAGAAAAATAACACTATACCTGATGTGGAGAAGAAGGGCTGAGAGTACCAACACCACCAGGATCCTGCTTTTCCCCCTGCTAAAACAGTATTTGTCCTGCTGAAAAGGAAATGCAATAAATAATGAAGTAGAAGTGAAGGCTGAGTATCACCAATTCTTTCCAGTTCCCCCCCCCAACTCCTTCTTTTGGGTTGATCTGTATTGCCATTTTCTTGGCCTGGATCCTGTGCTATAGCCAATCAATCCTTTGAGAAAACTGTTTTGCTCTGTTAGTTTCTGAGAGGATGATCATCAGGGTCGCTTGGGGAGGCCCCCAGCAAGCCAGCGCCCAGTCTGAGTACAGAGGGAAGAATCAGTACAAAGGCAGGAAGGAAGGAAGGAAGGAAGGAAGGAAGGAAGGAAGGAGCAGCTCAGAGGGTTGGTGGCAGACTGAGAACCAAAGTCATGACCTCAAGACCACTGCAACCTATTGAAGAATAAGGTCTCCAGTGTCTCCCAGTTTCCCCATCAACACCTTCCTCAGGTCCTTGAGGAATGGTTATCCAAGAAAAACTCTGCCAATTGCATTGCTCCATGAAACCGAACTTGCAAATAGTACATGGAGGCAAAAGAGACATTTTTAATAGCCTCTGTATAGGACAGATAGCACGGTATTCCATTAGCTTTGTAAACGCCTCTCAGGGGGTCTCTGCAAGCAAGAGCCTCACTGATTACTCCTGTTCTTGTGCATTTAAAATTGCGCCCATAAACCAGGGGTACTTCTTTCCCTCTGGTAGCAGGAAAACAGACATTTCAAGTCTATGGAAAGGAATCAACGGCACACGCCCACAGTGTGTTCTCTCTCTCTCTCTCCTACCATTGTTCCAGGGTCTCTTGCGTGGCCAAGCACAGCCCACCCCAGATGCTGTTGACACTAGGCCTCGTAAGACTGATGGGAGATGTAGTCCAAGAACACCTGGAGAGCAGAACTTTGCCCCACCCATTTTAGACTGCAAGACCTCTGGGGCAGGGACCTTTCCTGCGTGCGCCCTTGTTGCTATAACAACGAGTTGGCTCCGCCTCCTCTTCGTCCCCTCCCTCCTCCCTGGTCGTCATAGCAACCCCTGCTTCTACCTCGGGAGCGAAACATCCTCCACATCCCCTGGAAACTCCACCCAACCTCAATAAAATCGGAAGAGGGATGATGGCCGCCGGTTGCTAGGCAACCGCTCCTCCCCACTCCACTTTGCCTACTTTTGGGGGTGCCAAGAACCGGGACTAGGCCCCGTTGCTATAGAGACCCCCATCCCAGGAGCCGTTTAAGATTCGGACGGGGTGGAGGGGAGGAAGGAGCGGCGGCGCCGGGGGTGGGGGCCCTCGCGTTGCCATGGCTCCCGCGAGCCGAGGTGGGGAGGGAGCGCGAGGATAGGGCCCTCACCTCCCGTTGCCATGGGAACCCTTCCTCCCTCCCTCCCTCCCACCCTCCTCTCTCGCTAGCTCTCCTGCGGCGTCGTAGTAGCAAGAGGAGCCGTAGCAGTGGCGGCGTCGGGCGCGCCGTCCCCTCCTAGGCCCGACTTCCGGCGTGGCTCCCTATTTGGCAGGAAGTGGTGCCCCCCCCTCCGCGCGCGGGCGCTCTCCCTCTCCGCCGCTGGCTGCCTAGCTAGGCTTTCTCTCCGCCTCCCGTCAGGCAACGCGCGGCGGCCGCTTC